ACATGTAGGACTGAGAGAACAGAGGTCCGGGCCCTCTCTCTGGTGGAAATACTCAGATTAATAGAAATGGGTTGATATTTAAGACAGAGCTAGCTGATAAGAAAACACTAGTAACAGGCCAACAGCTTTATATCTAATACAGCATCTCCGTGTGTTATTTGGGGCTGGTGCAGCAGTGAAACCAGGCTGGCTGGTAGAAAATTATTCGTAACAGTGTAACAGTTTATTCTCTCTCTCTCTCTCTCTCTCTCTCTCTCTCTCTCTCTCTCTCTCTCTCTCTCTCTCTCTCTCCCTCCCTCCCTCCCTCCCTCCTTCCTTCCTTTCTTTCTTCCTGAGACAGTGTTCCTATGTGCAGTACTGGCTATCTTGGAACTCTCTCTGTAGACCAGGCTGGCCTCCATCTCAGAGATCTGCCTGTTCTTTGCCTCCCTTATGCTGGGATTAAAGGTGGGTGCTATCACAATTGGCTTGCAAAGGATTTTCTAAGATTTGGAATCTATTGCTCTAAATCTTTTCCAGTTCAACTCTGGCTCTGAGTCTGTATTTAAGGATAGTTTACATTTACAAACTATTTGGAATTATGTGGATACCATCTATTTCATGGGCTTTTCTAATACTCAAGGAACATAATTATGCCATATAATTTCATGAGCACAATTTAGAAAGAATATTGGTTACACATAGACTGCAGCAAAGACAGATATAGATACCAAATTTAAAAATGTGCTAGTAATCCAACAATGTAGTTCAGTCTAGCCTTTCCCTCTCATAGGCACTTCCAAGAAGCCATGAAACAACAAAATCAACTGGCGTAATTTCATTTGCTTCCCCTTTCCCTGCCTACTCTGTATTGATGCAAAATTGTAAAACTATGAGAAGGACCCAGATCCCTCATAACTTGATCAATGAGCCCTTGAATACCAGGGGAAATTACATTTATTGCCAGGAATATGAAACGAATTCTGGAGTAGTTTAATCCACACTGCAGCTGTAGATGCATTCTCTTTCTTTGCCAGTAGGTGGAGGCACATCCAAATGTACTGGCAATGGTGTGAGCCATAGGACCACAATTCTTTAGAATAATCTGTTTCTGGTTTTTTGGTTTGAAACCAAGAAATCAAGAGGTAGAAAAATGGGGCAAAGATCCCTGTGAAGGCTCATTTATAAAATAATGATAGAAAAGAAGGGTTTTCTATTTCTATTTTGGTTCTGGCCTTTTAAAGAAATCCCTGTTATTTTAGCTGTGAATTTATAATCTACTTTTGGATCCCTAGAGCTCATAAAAACGTTCTAAATTTAGATAGCTGTCATTTAAGATTCATGTTCAATTAGGAAAAACTGAAAGTCAAGTGAATATGATATGATGTTAAGTAATTATTGGTGATTTTGTTAGGCATGATAATAGTGTTATCATTTAAAACAGGAGTGTGTTTCTAGGTGAAATGGCAGTGCTTTAGCAGTCTCCAGGGGCAAATGATAACAGGAAAGGACAGCTTGAACAGGGACTAGCAAATGTTTTGATAACTGTTGAAGCTCAGTTCTGGCTTTCATGATATTAGTCTCCCCTTTTATTTGGAATTTTCCAAAATAAAAGGTGAAAAAAAGAGAGGAAAAATAAAAAGAAAAGAAAACAACCATATTCTATTAATTTAGGCTAACATTAGGATTAGGTCATTAGTAAACGTTTATCTTTAATGAGGCACAGCCACTGGATTATTTTAATCTCAGTCAAAACATCTCCCAAGGACCGCCTCAACAATAAGAAGCCCAAGCCCAGATTCTATGACAACAAAGGGCATCTTCTCTCCACTACACTGTTATTTTAGGACCTCCTGACACTAGCAGCATGACTGTCAAATTGCAGGTCAATTTTAAGATTTTACTGTCTGTGCTTGTTACTTTATAGCACACTATCAAAACTGCTTTTAGTTTCCTCAGAATAAAATATGGGCAGAGACAGAGTTCTTGAGTGAAGAATAAAATGAAACCAGAAACGTGATTTAAAAATCATTATACTCTTAAAATTGAGTGGGATGTCTGAGACCCTCTCTAGTTTCAAAGCAAAACCCTACCTTCAGCCCTCTTAGATGGATACAGATCCTCGAGTGTGAGGAGGTTAAGTGTGTGCCCTGTAAGAGAGCAACTTCATCCCTGGACTAAATCTTATCATTAAAGACCCTTCCTTACTTAAAAGTCACTTGTTGATTCTAGAGGTGGTCTGTAACACCACAGTGAAGCACATACTCTTACAGATAACAGTCTTTCAAATAACTGAAGAGGCTGATCATTCTCTCTATGGTGGACTCTTAGAATAAGAAAATCAATACATTCCTGGATGGCTATGACCTCAGGGTCTTTAAGAGCTCTTCCATCCCATAGCACTTCATTTGGGATTCATGTATGTCTAGAAACGCTCAAAATCTTTCCAAGGAACATGTGAACTAGATTTAAAAAAAACCTAACTTATTATCATTTGTGAGCACCACAGTATGCATGGAAGTCAGAGGATAACTTTCAAGAGTTGATTCTCACCTTCTTCTACTTTGTGAAGGCAGGGTTTCCCTTGTTTCTGTTGCACTGTGTACTTCAGACTAGCTTGTCTGAGAGCATCCAGGGTATTCTGGTTTGGGAATTTAACTCAGGTGATCAGGCCCATGGAACACAGCAAGAGCTTTTATCTATTGAAGTCACATTGCTGGGTTCCAGATGTAGGATGATTTAAAGCCATCCGTTTCCATCTCCTCACTTACCATAATATGGGCTGCCTGAAAACAAATGCTATGATCTACAAATGCTAGTTTTCCTTTCATATCTCTGGATCTAAAATCAGCCATCTCAAAAGAACAACTGTTACTCTATCCCAAAAAGTCTGTTTACCTTCCAAGGCAGTTGAGGAATGCAAAAGTGTCTGCAGAGGAAGGTGCCCTCATAGCAAAGTCAAGGCCTTGTGGAACAAAAGGAAATGCTACCCTTAAATCTAGGAAATGTTTTTATGGGAAAGCTTCATCTATTTTAGAATTTAAAATCAATAGTTATATATGAATGGCATCAATATGTCTATTAACATTTCAATTTTATAAAGAAAAAAGAAGTCAGATTTTTTATCTTTGACAGAAAGCAAGTCTGACTGGGCTCTGTGATTTGACAGAGGAGCAATACTGTTGGAAAGGAAATACATTTAAAAGAACATTCAAGGTGGTGATAGTAATGTTTTTACAATAAAATATTTTAAAATTTTATTTTATGTGTATGAGTGTTTTGCTTATATGTTCTTTGTCTGTTTACTACAGACATGTCTGGTGCCTGCACAGGCCAAAAGACGGCAATGGGCCTTCTGCAACTGGATTTATAGGTGGTTGTGAGCTGTCACGTGGGTGTCGGGAAGCTAACACAGGTCCTCTCCAAGAGCAGCCTTAAACTTGAGTCACCTCTCTTAACTTCTGAGTCACCTCTCAGCTAGCTCCACGATAAAAGATTTTATATATCAGCTTATAGCAGCTAGCTCACAGTTCTAGCCTATCTGCTAGCAAGTGTTTTGAAGGCTGCGACTCTAAGATAGAATTCGCAGGTTATCCTTTTCGACAAACACTGTGGTGTCCTGCTTACTATGAACACTACAGGGAGTAAGAGCAGTATGTAAGGGTGGGAGTATGGCTTGTCTTGAATTCTATATACTTTCTAATTAATGTAGCCTAAGAATCCATGTACTATTTCTAAGCTATTGCATATAACTAATCAAAACATTTATATCTTTTAAAGTAAATAGTCATAATTAAATCCACACTGATCTTGCACTTATGTAGCTTCAATTTTTCTTTGTTTCGGTTCTTTGGATACAAATTTCTATACAGACAGGCAGCATATTAGTTAGCCTTCTGTAGGGGGCAACTTATGAAATGCCCCCTAGACACTCCCACTTCTTGCTATGCAGGTCCAGTATGTGAGCTGGATCTAATGAATCATTTCCAGCTAATGAAATATGGTGTGCTACTTTTGGAATTAACTTGTAAACCTGATCTCTACCCTTGTTGCTTGCTCCGTCAAAGCTAGTAGCCATGTTAGTCTATGAAGAGGTCCATGTGACATGGGACCAAGGGATGCTTCAGGCCAATAGCTCTTAGGAAATGAATCCCTTTGTACATGATTACTGACAGTCCTAGTATTGACAAGGTCCAGAGTCATCTTATGAGAGATCTATAGCCAGAGGATTTGACTAAGTTGGGCCTCATTCCTGATGCACAGAGAGTGGGGTAATACATGGGTGTTGCTTAAAAGCCACTAAACTTAGGAGCATTGTGTTATGAAGCAATATATAATCTGATTTTGGTATCTTGAATACTGAAGCTAGAATATACTCCCTTTTCTATTTTCCTAATCAAAGTCATGGGTTAATTTTGAATAGAATAAGATTAAAGACAAAATACAGTATGACACCAGTCCATAAAGCTTTATATAATCACTTTGGACATTTATCCAGGTATCTATAGACTATTTAGTTGTACTTGGCTCACACTGCTCCATTTTAAACAAAATTATGTGAGAAACAAGTGAAGCAATTAGTATATTAAAATCAAGATACTGTAAGTTGCGAAGCTTCCTTTTATATGGCAATATGATTACATCAAAAGAGAAACTTCAGTATGTTATTACACATTCTGAGTTGCCAGAGAGACTTCCTACATGGAATCCTCTACTCTCACCTCTCTCTTCTTCACTAAGATACAAACTGAATATTTTGGGGTGTCTCATCCCTTTAAACTCTAAGTAATTTTGGAGCCTCTTCGTTGAAGTGTGCTGAAAATATGAGTACCTGATATGCCAGGCTATTGTTTCTTTGTCGCTTATAACCTTAAATGACAAAATCCTTTTTTACCAGTGACTTCAGGTCTCTCGAAAAAGATGAGTCCACGACTGTTGCTAAACTTGAAGAGAAAGGTGTTAAGATTTTCTACAACCAGAATCACTTAAAACTCTACTCAAGAAAGAAAATGTACACTCACAATTCAAAAACCATGTAAAGCATTCCATCTGAACTATATGTCTCCAATAACTCCACAATGTGTGGATGTTTCAGCATATGACAGATACTGGCTTCCCGCTTTAGATCTGCAAAATAAACATACAACATACTTCATTAGGTAGGAACAAAAGACAATTAGAGTGAAGGGTGAATGAATGAATGGACATGATCTATGGTAACATGACAACTTCTCTGACTAAAGAGATGAAATCCCCCATTTTAAACTAAGTTTATCTTCTTTCCCTTTCAAGACTGTGACAGTACAACTTCTTATACTTTTTGTCAGCTTCCATCTACATATGCGAGGAAGCTCCTACTAGCAAATGTTTTCATTTCTTAGAGCAAAGAAATACCTTGTTCCAAAGTAAAATAAGTACATGTATATTTCCCACAAACTCTTATAGTCACCTTTCTGCCTCCAAATTTATAACCTTTCCTTGATCTGTTGATAAGTAACTCGATTTACACTGTTGAATTTTACCTTTGTCTTAGTTTTCCTTAAGTCAGAAAAGAATAAAATGTAGCATTTACAGACATATCATAGGAGTTATGTGGAATACAAAAAGAAACAGTATGTTTTACACAGAAAAGACACTATTCCCAGAGCCTAAGTTAGAATTTATTAGTTCTTGCAATGATATGAATAGAATTCAGGGCCTTGTGAATTATAAGTAAGCACCTTGCTGCTAAATTACACCCCTAGCCTGGGAAACTTTTGTTTAATATCATATATAATGTCTGGTGAATGACTCAGGTTCTTTTAAGTACTTTGCAATGTCATTCTCAAGAACAAACAGACAATGCAGGTAGTACCTGCTGGGCATCATGATATGTGCCTGTAATCCTAGCACTTGGGAGGTAGAAGTAGCAGTTCAAGGCTATCTACTGTTAGATGGTGAGTTTAAGGCCAATCTGGACTACATGAAACTGTATCTCATAACAACAACAAAAAGCAGGCCTTATTTGGAAAACAAAATTAATATGAACATCCTCACACTACGTTTGGGCAGGGGCAGTCCACTCCTATTTAGTCTATACCTGTTTGGTGATATATAAAATTCAATATGGTGTTCTTATATTTGAACATAAAAGGGAGACAAGAAAGTAAGGAGCAAGGACACACTACATAATACAATAGATAACATGATCTCTTTTCTGGTTTATTAATTCAACTTAGTCCTGCCAACAAGAGAAATGGCTGCAGGTAGAAACTTACAAAAGCTACTCACATACAGGCAAATTAAGTAAAAGAAGGCACTACAGAATAGACACCATCAGAAAAGGATGGACCAATAATATAATACAATGTTAAGAAAGTCAGGGATATAGAGGAAATACATATACATACATACATACATACATACATACATACATATGTTGGAATCTGTGAAAATGCCATAAACATTCTGAGCTGGTAAAATTCCAAAGAGAGGTCAGTTACTGTATGTAACTAGTGACGCTTTGAGTGAATGTGTGCTAGTGACACAGGCACAGCCACATCAAGGACCCCAATGCCTTAGACCCATGGGAAACGGCAACACTTGCCCTGGCTCAGGCATAGGTAAATGACAAAGCTTTCCCTCTGGTCCAAATGTGAATGTGACAGTATATGCAGAAAATGTAGCTTTCTTCCTCCCTTCCCCCTTGTTTACAGCCTGATGACTGTTCCCCTACGGCCCCTGCTATGATTTGCTAAATGGGCCTCCTTGATTCAGCTGTATACCATAAACCCTGCCTCCTGGTTTGCCTATATACAATAACCATGCTGAGTGGAGGAGTAGTGCAGCTTCTCCATCCAAAAGCCCAGACTACCTGATCCCATCTTTCCTTGTGTCTACCATTTCTTCATTCCCTTGTTGCCCCTAGGCAGGGTCTTGGAACTCAAGCTATGAAAGGGTGTGGCAGGTCAGGGCTGAACTTAGTATACAAGAGATGGTTATTTAATGCTAGATTAAAATCAACCATTTCTCTTGCTGAGCTGAGCACTCCAACCATTCTGTGGTAGGTACATTCCTGATGAGGAAGCTCACTCAGGCCTAGAAACATGTTCATGATCACACAGCTATAGAGCTATCCCAGGAGTGAACTTTGAGTCCTGGCTCCAAACTCGGCAATCTTTCCATTAAGCTGTGTTATGGGTGTGAGTGTGATCACAGTTGAAGATTCTGGCAAAAAAGTAGAAATGGCTGGGCCAAAGCAGGTTTTGCTTGTTTGTGCACTGTGCTTGTTGAGGAAACCCTGTGTGTGGCTGTGAGCTGCAATGCATTGATAAGAAGCCCACAGAATCTAGAGTGTGAAACTGGGTGTGATGCCTGCCTTTGTCCCTGCCACCTGCGTACTCAGTACCAACTTCTACAAAGGGCTTCCTTTTAGTGATCAAGATGGGAATGGGGTTGGTTGATGCAGTACCTTCAGAGGCTACTGACTGACTTCAAAGGGCAGTGCTAAGACTGCAGCAAGAAGCCCCATGGGGCTCTAGGATGGCATATAAGTTAGTTATCAATCTCATTATCAGGGAAGGGCATTTAAGGTAGCCTCTCCACTGTTGATGTAAAATAAAAAAATAATAAATATACATACATATATGAGAAAGAGAGAAGGTTCGGGAGCCAGATTTAAAAAAAAAAAAAAAAAAAAAAAAAGCCCCATGGGGAAAGGACCATGTAGAGTACAGCATGTGGGGGAAGGCATAAAGGGAGCAAATGTGAGTATGGCTGTGTTCAGTGCGGACCTCAAAAGAAAAGATTGGAGGCCCAGAAAAAATGCCTCTCTGCTAAAAAGCAGTTGGGAAGACCTTTTCGGAGGAGAGAACGAAGCAGCTGCCTGGTTGCGCAGGAAGATGCCAACCATATGGAAAGTTTTGCTTTGTTTTGATGTTTTGGTTTTTCGAGACAGGGTTTCTCTGTATTGCTTTGGATCCTGTCATGGAACTCACTCACTCTGTAGACCAGGCTGGTCTCAAACTCACAGAGTTCTGCCTGCCTCTGCCTCCCGAGTGCCTGGATTGAAGGAATGCACCACCACCACATGGCCTGAGGAAGATATTTAACAAGCATGTTGGAGGGCCAAACTGAGCCACACATCAATCAGATGCTTGCATGGCTCTTTTCTAAGAATGTTCTGCTTCCCGACTCCAGGGAAGTTTTATTACTTCTTTTTGTTTTCCCTAGCTTCTCATTTTATCAGAAGTCACCCTTTCATGCCTCTGTTTTCCACATTAGTGACTCCTTCCCATTAGTTTCTGTTCTTATGAAACACAATTTTAACTGTCCTCCTGATACCGGAATCATAAAGCAAATACATTCAGTGTCTGCCACAATAAAAGCTGATCTTTCCTGCTCTTCAGTTTATTTTCCACTTTTTCCCTTTCATGTAACTACAACATGCTTCAGTCCCCATCACCTTTTGTTACATGACACTTTTGTTACAACGAGAGCTTTTAGTTGAAAAAGATCTGCCCAAGATCCCCTGCACATGGAATTGGTGAACAGCTGAATAAGCTCTTGGCCTAGTCTTAATCCCCACCACTCCAAACAAAGACAGAATTTCTGGGGCCCCTGCTTTTCTATAACAAAGTGGCATAAATGCCATTAGATCTGACATTTTGGAGACTAAAATCAAAGTGCTGCAGGACAGCACAAGTCTTACTATATGGAAATAAGTTTGACAGGATAGGGACAGCAATGTAAAAGATGCAGTTATTTTCCATGACATCAAGTATCAAGTAAATAGTGCAAACAGAAAAGCATTCTTTAAAAAACAAATACCAAAATAAAAATTTAAATTAAGTAATTCAGGAAGCACAAATACATTCTTTGTGCATTTTGACTGTAGACTGCCAAAACAGGAAATTCAAAATGGTCATTTTAAAATGTGAACATGCCCTAAGGAAATACACACCCATTGAATGCTGTTAAGTCTGTGATGACACGGTGGACTAAAACTATAATTTGCCTACATATTGATTCATGAGGCAAGGAAGAACTGGAACGCAGATGGTACTACTTTGATGTACAACTGTTTGACTGCTCACAGATACTAGCATAAAACACATCTGTGAACAACATGGCTTAGTGTGCCACCTCTGCCTGTAGTGACTGCTTTGTTCACTGACTAGTAACTGTCAACCTCTCCTTCTGCCTCTTCTCTTCCCATCATACTTTATAATTTCCTAGGAGAATTTGAAAGATACTTTCAATCCTCTGTTTGTATATTTAGTACCCTTACATTTAGCTATGTAACCATATTTAGTCAACTCATTTCCTTTTTTCTTTTCCTTCTATTTATTCATTGTGTCTTTCACATCACGCATCTCCATCCCATTCATTTAACTCATTTCCCGTTAAAAGAGGCACTCATGATATTTAATTTTATAGCTCAATTCAGCAACGTATTAAAATTAAATTAACATGCTATCCAATCTTAAAATTACTATTAATTTCCTAAGAATTTTGGGCTGTCCAAGAGCAATAAAGTGAGTACGGAACTAGGACTGGCTTATCAGTCTCTTAAATAAGGAATAGCTAGGGAAGCTGTTTCAGTAATAAGTTTAAAAACAATTTTGCTGAAAAATATCTTTACTATTCATTTTAGTTCCACTTAGAGTTCTTTCATAAAAATTGGTTACCACTTAGTGCTACAATTCTGCAGTAAGCTTATTCATCAATGGGTAAAAGCTAGGTTTAGTATTTATAAATATAGTCGAAGAAAGCAATTTCAAAAATGTTTACCTTTGAAAGAGTAATCTGAACTGTCGTATTGGAACTTAAAACACCTACATTTAAGAGTTAGTTTGCCCAGGAACATTCAATGAAGATTAGATCAGCTATTTTAATAATATCACATTCAACCCAATATATTAAAAGTATTATTTCAACACATACTTAAATTTTTTTTTTTGAAAAATGTTAGTTTTGTGCTCTTTGAGATCTGGTATGTGTCTTATACTTATAGTCTATATAAAATTAGTATAGTCACAATTTAAGTGTTTAACAGCAACATGGGAATAGTGGCTATAAATTAGAAAGGTACAGTTCTAGATAAGTTCATTTGCTTTCTTCTTTATTACATTTATTTATTTGTGTGT